GGATGGATGGATGGATGGATGGATGGATGGATGGATGGATGGATGGATCAGGAGGTGCTCCATGCACATCTCACCAGGGAGGCCCAAGGGACAACCCAAGACACAATAAAGGGACAATGTCTATCGGCTGGCCTAGGTGAGCCAATGGAGCCAAAAGAGGTTTCTGTGGGGAGGAAAGTGTTGGAGTCTTTCCCTACACTGCTGCCCCCTTGTCATGGATAAGAAGAAGATGATGCATATATTTATGAGCAGGGGTAATTCTCTGAGGTTGCATTAGAAAAAGGAGCGTTTGTGTCTCACCCCCACTGTGCTAGGAAGCCATACTCAATTTTCATACTCAATTTTCTGCACACATTTGAAGGGACACGTTACTGATGAACACTTCACCAGTTTAAAATACTTTAATCTAAGATTAAAAAAGGTAATTAAACCTCACCTGGGTCATTATTGGAAACTTTAGCAGCTAGTAAGCCTGGAGGAGGCCCATTTGTTATCAGAACATACCAGAAGAAAGACATTAATAATGATTCATGACCTTGTGCTCTTGTTTTTGGTTTTCTTTTTGTCATTTCTGATCGCTTCATGATGAGTCAACAAGGATGGTCTAGGTCTTTTATAGCTCTTTATTCTTTTTCTGTTTTTTTATGTTTGAGCTGTTTTGTTGGAGTTTGACTCATTTCCTTTGTGGCTTATAGTTCCTCAGTTAGGTGTGTAATCGTCATCCTCCCTCAGTTGTCCTGCTCTTCTTCAGCTGCTCATCATTAACCTAAATGTCCTCCCCCAGTTTCTTTTTCTCTAATCATACCTCCAGGGTATATAAGCTTTCTGCTTGTTACATGTTTTTTTTTTATTTCTTATTGTCAGTCCACTCTGATTCTATGACCTCATATTTAGCTCTAAATTTTTAATATGAAACATTTCAAAGTCACCACATTGCCCAGTCTCCTTCCTACACTTTTTCCCCATGTCAAACGCTAACCTTAACACAACGACAGTGAAAACAGACTGGCGGCAATCACGTATTGCCTACCATCAATCTGCAAAGGCCATTTTCAGGCAATCTAAAGTCCATACAATGAGAGAGAATGTTTTTTTCTAATGGAGAACATTTAAGAGAGTCAATCTTCCTAGTAAATTAACCCTGAGAGCAGAGCTTATAATGCTCAGAAAATTGCAATAAAGCCTGAAGCTTCATGTAGGACTAAAGGTCTTAGTTAGCATGGTAGACGTCAGTTAATGGTGCACAATTTAAATAAGACCAAACTGGTATTTCTGAGCAGCTGTTGGAATAAGTGGCTAAGGCAATGAAACATAAGCTTTTATGTTACATCTACATGAACCACAAGAGGAATTTGTTTGGACAAAAAAAATGAACAGATGTTTGGCTACATGTGTGATCTGATGTATTATTTCCACAAAAACATGTCATAACAACTAGGTGGTGGAAAAGGTATGGTATGGAATTGTTTTGTTTGCTGTTTTGACCTACACTACACCAGGGGTTAGGGCATTAAAACAATAAGAGCCATTGTGACCTTTGACTTGCTAAAAAAATTTAGTTTAGAGCCACAAGAGAAACAAGATTCTTTAAAGAATAAATTGCTTCACAAAAAATCTGACTTTATTTAACAAAATTGCCATAACTGCTTGGTATTTCTTTTTTTTCTCACTAAGTTTTAAGTCACTGATCATTTATTCTTTAACTTTGGACAAAAATAATAGGTTAAAAACTTAAAAAGAAATAATTAAAAGAGGGTCTAAAGAGCCATGGGTTGCTTAAACACCAAAGCAAGAAAGTTTACATCCAGGGAGTTCTCCAACAACTCCTCTCCATGTCAGAATACTTGGAGCTTAAGGTAAGACCCTCAGCACCTGAGTCTTGTCCAAAACTGGGTTAAGCAATTGACGATTCAAACCTTTTCGTAGATTGTTTCTCAAATGCAAAGCAAGAAACTGTTTATGTGAGAAAGAATCTGCTTAACCAAGTTACGTTCAGCTACTGCATTTTATCTTGATTTGTTCTCAAATTACAAACTCTACTTTTGATTTTTTTTTGTGAGATATAGTGATTTTAAATGCTGCTTTTGGTGCTTTTAAATACATATATTAGATTGGAATAATTATAGAAGCTGGTGGAGACCTGGGATCTCCTTTGTTAAAGATTGCCTGGGATTTATACTAAAAGTCTACATACGCTGAAAACCTACAAAAAATGGCATACGCCAAAACAAATGTTTCCGATTTATCAAACCATGCACAAGTATAATAAATCACTCCTGTGCTCAAAAATTCCAGTAGCAAAGCACTGTATGACTGCCATTGTCTATCTAAATTAGTTGAATAAATAAGAAAATACAATTGTATTTTGTGTTTTTAATAGGTTCTTCTTCTCTGGTTGCAGGTGCAGACAGAGCTAATGAGGAAGTTTCGCAGCTGGAGAACAGAGACAGACATTTTAGTACAGTGACTAGCTGGGCTTGACCCTCGAGTTGAAACTTTTTCCATCGCTACGGTCCAAGATCGCAACAGGTCCTCTATATCCCCAACCAGGGCAATGCCTGACAATTCCCCAACTCCAGACAACTCACAGGTTTTTGGACGCTGTGATAGGACGATTTCTCCACCAGCAGATGGTTTGGTCGAGCAACCTTCACTAGCAGGAAGTGAAGGACAAGCTCTGCAGCCCAGGAGTCAGAGGGAGAATGAACAGACATCTGCAGGAATGCAAGTGTCCTTCCTCATTCATCTTAAAGACCCTGTTGAGTGTCCCCCTAATGTTGTTGACACAAACCCAGAATGAAATTTCAATCATTGTCGGTCTACGCACCTAATTCTTTTTGATTTGTTTTGACCGTCCTGAAATATATACATTACATAATATATACATTATACAGTGTTTGATTACAATGTTTTTTTGCATTAGAAAACAATTTCTGACAGAAACCCTGCAGCATTGCGACTCAATAGTTTCAGAGAGTGATTTAAAAAACTTTTAAAACAATCAGCACCTCAAAAAAATCAGTTCTGCAAGCTCTTTATAAAACAGAGGTACAACAATGCTTGGGACTTTATTTTTCAATTCATTTTGGGGTTTTTTTCAATTCAAAAAGTTTATTTCAAACCTGCACACATTTTACAATACATATAATGACAAACAATACATGGCTTGAAAAGGGGATGAAAGAAGCAAAAGCTTATAACCTGTGGTGATACAAAGATAAAGTCTTGTTTTGGCATTATGTTTTGTATAAGGCAAGTCTGAGTTTAAAAATGTGTCTTTCACCAAAATCCTGAAAATTTCAATTCAGTATTGTCTCTTTCTCTATATGGTACATCTTTCTGTAAACAAAGCCATATTTTAAATGTCTGATCATCTGTATTTAATTACATTTTTAAGAGCTATTTACAAAAGATACAGTGGAAAAATATTAAAAGCTGTTATAGCACTAATTGCTCTTATCTAGATGCAGAACATTGCAGTTAGCAATTCTAAGTCATTCTAAAAACTGGAATTAACATTTTTCCTAACTGAAGTTAAGACCTTACATCTAAATATCTTTTTCCAAATTTGGGTTCTTCAGTTTCTTAAACAAGTTCTCTTGTCCATTTCTCATCAATGTTCTTTTCTTTTGAGGCGTTTCTAAGGAAGCAAACATAATTATGCTTAAGCTTGTTTTTGCTTGTTAGAATTTATTTATTTTAAAGTTAAGGATGTTTGTGTTTATATTGACTGTGGTTCAGAGGGTAGAAAAGTTGTCTTGTAATATCAGAGTTGATGGTTTGCTTGTAGGTTCCACCTGCAACATGTCAATGGGCCATTTTGCAAGGCATTTAAATTCAAGTTATGGCAATGTCAATTTTATCTATATATTACATTTGATACAGATACCCTTGATGGAAATGCTGTTAATTAAACCAATATGAATATACAAGATAAAAAATAAACAACATAAAACAATGATAAGAAATAAGAACTGGTAAAATACCAACAGCTACTCAAAATAATAGAAGAATCTGCTGTTAAAGACCAGTGACAACAGAGAGGTTTTTAACAAAGACTAAAAGAAAGACTATTCCATTGTCTTGGCACAGCCACAGCAAATGCTTGGCCCCCTCTAGTTTTCAACCATCATCTCTGCACAACCTAAGTTACTTGATTTGCTGATTGTGTTGACCAACTGGAACATAGACTCGCAGATGCTCGGAAAGAAAGAGGGGATCTATGCCATTAAAACATTTGAAAACCAACAAAATCTTAGAGCAAATCCTGCAGCTAACAGGAAGCCAGTGTTAAGAACCAAACATGGGATTCATGCACTCAAGATTGTTCATCCTGTAAGGAAACAAGCTGCAGCATTCTGAACCAACTGCAAGCCATAATTGGAGGCCTGAATATAAGGAGTTACACAAATCCAAGCAACAGATAACGAAGGCATAAATGGGACTCTCTGGAGCAACATGAGGCAGAAGGTGCTTAACTTCTCTAAGCAGATGCAATGGGGAAAATGAAAGGCTACATACCAATCTGCATATCAATGTATGGATGTCTGTGTGATTATGTGAATGTTGTTCTAGCGTTGGGCACTTTGAGTGATTGGTATGACTGGAAAAAGGCTGCATAAATTCAGACTATTTACATTGTAAATGCATGGGTAAAGATGTATTTTAATAATCACAATATGTATTCCAAGTAGCTGGAGTCCTATGCACTTTTCACAAGAAAAGAAAATTGTGTTAAATGTGTCTGTCGCTTTGGTTTTTGTTCTTTCATAAACTTCATTACCCAGAATCCCTCTGAACTTGCGTCATGTCGTCACGTCAATCACGTTCTCCCTAGAAACAGCGGAGGCTGAAGCGGGAAGAAAAATAAAGACTGAAGTAAGGAAAGTTAAATGCGGCTCATAGAATGTCAGAACTGTAGAAAAGTATTTTTCATAACGAATGGAGTCCGAAACGTTATAATTTTATAAACCAATTTAGAAAAACAGAAGGAGCTTTTGTCCCGCCGTTTGTTTCGTAAACTGAATGAAGGTTTGCTAGCAAAATAACAAAGTGAAGCGTCAACAGGTTGCCTTATTAACAGCATCTTTCAATGGCCTCAGCTGGTAAGAACAAACCTTTCCTTTCTCAGCTCAGTCCATATCTTCTAACAACAGCTTACACTGCGGTAGTTTAACAGTTGTTTATAAGTATAATGTGTGTTGTCGCTCTTTTGATTATTGCAGGTTGGCAGCATCCTTATGTAAACATATTCAAACATGTTAAAGTTGAGGAATGGAAGAGGTCTGCTAAAGTTGGGGATGTCACGTCATATATGGTAACTCCTCTTCTACCTAATGTCTATTTGGTTGCCTTTCACACCTATAGATTGGAAGGTTTTGTTAATTCGGGAATTTTAAGGTTTTGTTTTAATTTTTTTTTTTACAATTTTCTCTATTCAGCCCAAATTAATTGAATGATATATTTGTATTTCCTTAAAATTACAACTATTTATCCAGGATTCAATTTACAGTGGATCTTCTCTCAGCCTTTTAAGTTTGGCTCAGTAACACGTTTTGTTACAGTTCCTATTCAAAATATTTGCATATTGTGATAAATGTCATTATTTTCCATAATGTAATGATAAAACTGGAACATTCATATGTTTTAGATTTATTGCACGCTAACTGAAATATTTCAGGTCTTGTATTGTCTTAAAAATAAGGATTTTGACATACAGCTCAGGAAAACCCAAAATTCCTATGTCACAAAATTAGCATATCATGAAAAAGGTCTCTAAACGAGCTATGCACCTAATCATCTGAAGCAACAAATTAACTCTAAACACCTGCAAAAGATTCCTGAGGCCTCATTGACAGCTTCAAGCAAGAGGAAGTGACACAGAAAGATATTTCTGAACGAATAGGCTGTTCTCAGAGTGCTGCATCAAGGCACCTCAGTGGGAAGGAAAAGGTTTGGCAGAAAAAGCTGCACAACATGAAGAGGTGACCGGACCCTGAGGAAGATTGTAGAGAAGGGCCGATTCCAGACCTTGGGGGGCCTGCGGAACTGTGGACTGAGTCTGGAGTAGAAACATCCAGAGCCACTGAGAACTAGTTATGGCAGCGTTATGCTGTGGGTTTGTTTCACTATGAGCACTATTGGTGCATTGTTTAAAGCAGATAGTTAAAGAAGATGGAAAACTTTAAAGTTTCTGAAATGTACCTCAATTCAATTGCTTAATAATTGAAACTTGAATACAAATGGATACAGCATTAAGTTTTATTAACAGCCAAAAACCTCAGGCTGGTTGAAAACATGAACATGTTTGAAACACAGGTCAGAAAATCTGCCACTGCCCTTTCTACCTTGAAAGATGGTCAAATACTAAGATGCAATTATTTTATAGGTTGATGCCCATGGTTTATATGGAAAAACAAATTAGGAAATCTGAATATCCATCCCCTGGAAAACAACAGTTTCAATCGTTCATTTAAAAAAGAAAAATGGATTGGACATCCCTTTACATCAGGATTGTTTGTTCACCTCAGACCAAAACTGGATATATCAACCCTGAAATAGATCTCAAAATGTTTGCATTTTAAATTTAATTGAACATTTATTTTAAGCTTGAAATAGAGTACCTCATTACTTGCCTGTCTTCTTTTGACCTCAATAAAAATAACTGCATTTCCTTTAACAATCAGCTTTTGTCCTAAGAAATTTGGTTACGATGTTTAATATGGAAGTTAGGTCCCCCTGAAGGCAGCTGTGCCTCGAAACATCCCTACCGGTTCCTTTCCTGGGAGCAAGTTATTTTCTACTCTTAACTCAAACTGGGTAAAACCATATAAAAAAGGACTATAAAACAGGAGTAAAAAAGTAACAGCATTTATTCCAGGTCAGGTCATTACAGGACAGAGAAATGGCTTGGAGTTTGCACAGCTGTGGGCTCAAAAAATGTCTGCGAGCGTCCGGCAAAGATTAAGTGCCGAACAAGGTCATTTCCTCCTTCTTATACCTCATGAGTCCATATTTTGCATCAGGTGGATGCCTTAGATGTCTGTATCAGAAACTGACACGCCATCCATGCCTTAAACATCATGCATGTTGCCTCTTTACCCCAGGATTACACAGAGCTCTCCTTTATCAGTCTGGCTCCAAGATGTGACCATATCCTGTGTATTTTTAAAGACACGAAGGCTGTCCTGATTAGATGGCCTCTGTACACACAGTGACATCCACCATGTGAAGAAATGCCTTCTACTCTGTCCAATCTGGCTAACAAACTAACAATGAACATAATGTATTAAGAATAAACCTAACAACGATCATCACTTGCATCAAACTCAGGTTCCTGTCTGTTTATGTCTTTGCAGGATAAGACATTAAAATGTTCAGTGTTTCGCATCAAGGGTCCTGTTCCAGCCAACAGCTACATCCTAGTTCCCAAAAATCCAAACCACTCTCTGGGGTTGACCGGTCGCTACTTCTACCTTCTCTTTAGGCCCACTCCTGGAAAATACTTTATGGTCCACCTTGATGTTGCTGTACAGGTACAAGACATACTTATACAGATTTAGTTGAACAAATGACAAATTAGTTTTTTTTTCTTAAATCTAAATAACATTAACTTATCACTCTGCTTCAATGTGTTCTGCAGGAGGGTCAGTTGGTCCGTATCTCCTTTTCTAACATGTTCAAAGAGTTCAAGTCCACGGCCACATGGCTTCAGTTTCCATTCGTTTGTGGCGCTGCAAAGGATTCAGTTTATGAGAATACTTCAAGATCTGCACGGCATGGTAATAAAATCCACAGGGCTTTATTTATCCAAGGGTGTTGAAATATTTACACCACATAATAATTAGTTTTTATTTTTAATTAAAAAAAATTGCATGCATAATATATTTATACCACTTTATTTCTTCTTTTTTTCATTTTGTCAATATAGCCACATATTTGAATATCATATAGACCATTGTCAATTGCCGTGATCTTTAACTTTTGATAAATTTCCATTTGGATTAAGGTCTGGACTTTGTCTAGACATTAACAAGTTAAATGGTCCAAAAAATCTGCTTTACAAGTCACAAATTGGCAATATCATCTGCCTCCGTTCCACTGCAAACTGAACAGCACATAAAGAGCTTTTGTAATCAAGAAGAGTATTTATACAACCTCTGGGAAAAATTTGACTCATTTCTATTTTTACGTGATTGTGAAGCCAGATTGCCAAATCCCATTGGTCCAACAGGAACCTGAATGACCGCAGCATCTGGTTTTTTAAAACAATTTACCAAAGACGGATAGATTTACCTAAAGACATAACGATTTAAAAACATATATTTGTGTATATTAGAAATTGCACAAGTTAGATCAGTTACTGGGCTTTATATATTAACTGAAGTGAACAAATTGTGAGAATTAAGCAATAAATTAGGGCTGCAACAACGAATCGATAAAATCGATAAAAATCGACTTTTAAAAGCGTTGGCAACGAATTTCATCATCGATTAGTTGTGTCGCGCGATTAATGCGTCATCCGCTGCCGCCATTATCACTGCCACTTGACTGAAGGGGAAGAAAAAAAAAGATACGGCAGAGCGAGTCAGCGCCGCAGGTGCGCAGTGTTTCCAACTCAGCGACTTAGTCCGTTTATTTAGCGCCTTTTCAGACCCCTCCAGCGACTATTTTTTTTTTTAAAA